AAGCTGTGAGGGAATGGCCCCAGTCTTTCAGATGTCGGCCTCCCTGGCCTCTGCGGCAGGTGCAGTCTGCCCATCACCCCCGCCGTGGGTCGGGTTCCCCAGAAGGAGAGCCCCAGATGGGAATTGTGTGAGCGATTTATGGAGGGATTGTTCTCAAGGGCAAATTGTAGGAGTGAGGGCATCAGGACCGGGCAAGGGAAGGAGCTCGGCAAAGATGGGGCTTCGGGAGGAATCTGTCCCAGGCCGATCCCTGGGGAGCTCAGGAGCTCAGATCGAACCACAGAACCTATGCTGGCGGCTGGTTGGGTTTCAGTCCCCCGTTGGTTGGTGGTGGCCCCTGTAAGGCTCTCCCTGGGTGGGGCTGCTCCCATCAGCTGAGGGCAAGTCTCTGGAGAGGGCTGCCGGGGGGAGGCAGCAGCAGCTGGGAGGTAGGTACGCAGGCCAGCAGGGGGGTCTCCGGGGGCCGCCTCCGCGCCCGTCACCCACAGCACACCTTCCGGGCCATTCTCAGGGGGCCAGCTCCTTGCCCACCACTCTGTTCCCTGTACACCTCAGGCTCACATCCCGTTAAGTCCCTCACAGCTCCTCAGAGTGCCCGTGCTGCCCTCCCTCCCATTTGCCTCGACTCTCCCCAACCTGCCACCCCTTCCCTCTGCCTCACCTGCCCTGCAGGGGCCACTCGAACCACCTCCTCCAGAACTTTCTCTGGTTGCCCGCACTCCTAGCCTGGAAGCGGGGTGGGGGGATCCCCCTGCTTCTTCCTCACCTCCATCTTTCCCATTTTCTCAGTATCATGTCTCTAGCTTCCTTTGTGGATACCCCATCTTGCTTAAATATTGCCAGTCCTCACGTCACGGCTCTGAGAGCCCAGTGTCTGTATGCTCAGCCTTGGTTCAGAGAGATGCTGAATCATTCCTGACCGCCCTGTCCGTCCGCTTCCACATCGAGGTGGTCTGCCCTTGAGAGCCCCTCCGGCCCTCCTCCCCACTGCCCAGCCCCTGTCCTGTCTCTTGCTGGATCCCTTCAATGGCTCCTGATGGTGACCCGTCTCCACCCTTGGCCCCATCCTCTAATTGGGATGCTCTTCCTAAACAACAGATCTAACCTGTCACTCTCTTGCTCATTACCCTGCTGTGCCTCCCCATTGCTAGAAGGAAAACTCTGGAGTCCTCAGCTTGGCTCTCTCAGCCTAAATCTTGCCCCTGATGGGCTCCCCAGCCTTTTCTGCCCTCCCAGCCTTAGTATTGCCCCCATATCTCACCCCTGGCAGTCCCAGAATCATGCCAGATTCTGCCACGCCTTCCTCCTCATCTCATCTCTGAAATAGCCTCCAGTCTTGCCTCCATCTGTCCAACGCACCTACAAACCTACCAGTTTACATGTAAAGCTCAACCCCGGTCCACCTCTTCCAGGAAGCCTTCCCGGTCTGCTGCCTCCCACACAGGTCTCCCCCTCAGCAGAGCTGGCACTGGCCTTGGCATAGGGGGTGCTCTCTCAGAACTGGCTAATTAATGGATAAAGGGAGAGGGCTGGGCGGATCTTGAGTGGATCCTTAAGTGGATCTTCTAGGACAGAAGGGTCTGAACCTGGTCAAAGGGAATGAGGGATGCGGCAGGTCTGGGGGAGAAGCAGCAGGTGGAGGGGAACACATTGGGAGTAGGATGTTGGGAGGGCATGGGGCCCCCACATGGGTGGGGGTCTAAGTAAGGTGGGGCCTTGGGGCTCGGGGGGGGTGTGGGGTGCGGAGTGGGCACAGGCACTTGGTTGGGCAGGACCACTTGCGGAGATAGATTCGGGGCCTTGTGGGTATGGGGCTCTGAGGACACAGCACGGGGCGGGTACAGTGCACCGAATGGTTGTGGGTACAAGCCCCTGGCTGGGCCTGCGGTAGCAGGGGTGGGCCCCTGGGCGGGGTTTTGGGTCAGAGCAGTCTCCCAGCTGCCCTCAATGCTCCCAGGGGTGGTGCAGAGCATCAAGGACCACATCACAAAGCCCACAGCCATGGCACGTGGCCGCGTGGCCCACCTCATCGAGTGGAAGGGCTGGTGCGCCCAGCGGTCAGGCTGGGAGCTGTCCCCCGCTGAGGATGAGCGTTACTGCCGCCTGCCCGATGCTCTGCGCGAGGCCCGATTTGCTGCGGGTCAGTGGCTGGGGACGGGGACTGGTCGGGGCTCTGGTCCTTAGGGGACCGAGGGTCGCCACATGGGCCTTGTCGAGGCAGGGCAAAACAATGCCATGGGGTGGACAGGGCGTTCGGGGGGCCATCTGATCACTGGGGCCCAGATGGTCAGCCCAGCTAACCGCTAGGCTGTTGGCTACCAGCCCATCTTGGCGCTGAGCTCCCCCCGCCCCCACTGTGTCCCCGCTGAGTGGGTCTCGCTGTCCCCCCCACCACAGGGGTTGCCGAGCAGTTTGCTATCACAGAGGCCACACTGAGCGCCTGGTCCTCGCTGGATGACGAGGAGCTGCACCTCGAGAACGGCCCTCAGGACATGGTCCAGCTCCAGGGTACTGCCCAGGGGGGCGCCCGGGCGGGGTGGGTGGAGCAGAGCAGGGGCTGGGTGCCTGCCCCCAAATGCACGGTGACCTCAGACGAGCCCCTCCTTCCCTCAGCCTGGGTTTCTGCATCCGTGGGATGGAGCGGGGGATCCTTGCCCTGCCCACTGTCCACCGGGCGCCGTAAGCGTAAAGGAAAGAGCGAGCGCAGTCACGGGTCAGGGAATGAAGTGCTTACCGAGTTCGGTGTTTTCCTGTGCCATTTCACTTCAACCTCACCACACCTCTAAGAAGGAGGCCCTGTTATTATCTCCATTTTACAAATAAGGGAACCTGAGACACCAGGAAACTCACCCGGGGCTACAGCTGGAAGCATCAGAGCCAGGATCTGAACCTTAATACCAAGCACAGCCAGCCACCTTTCCAGAACCCCAGGTTACTACTGAGGGCCTGGGTCCTGGGTGACCTGCAGGCCCGTTATCTTATTTAATCCACCCTCCCTCCCCCAGCGCAGCCTGCTGTTAACTCCTCCAACTCGCTCCACCAGCCCTGTAACCCCCAGGGAGAAACTGGGGCTCAGAGAGCCTTGCCCAAGGTCACACAGCTTGGCAGTGACCAAGCAGGATCTGGAGACCAGTCTTCTGCCCCTCACCTTCCCTCACACACCAGGAGAGGGTGAGGAGCAGGATCTGGGACTCCGTTCCTCACGCTCCTTACCCCTCCCGTTGGTTTTCCAGACCTGGAGAGCGTCTACCTGCAGGACAGTCTTCTGAGTGGCCCCTCACAGGATGACAGTCTTCTGGCCTTCTCCTCCCCTGGCCTCTCCCCCGACGGCTGGCCCTCACCCGATGAGCCCCCCATCACAGCTGTCGGCCCGCAGCGCCCCAGCCCCGAACAACAGCATCGGCCGCAGCTGCCTCGGGGCCTGGGGCCTGAGGGTGGGGCCCATCTGCAGGGTTCCCTCCCCTCGGTGGACAGCACCTCCCTCCCGGAGGAGGGGGACGAGGTGTTCTATAACTGAGGTGGGGGCTGTGTGCCTCGGAGCCTCCTCATACTGTGACCTTGCCCGGTGGGCAGCCCAGGCAATCAGGACGTTGGGGTCTGGGCTGGGCATTTCTTGACGCCTCAGGGCAGGCAGAGGGTGGGTGCAGCAGGGATGGGAGGCCAGCACTCCTGTGGACCATTCTGTGCCTCCTTGGACCTGCCCCAGCAGTGGGAGCCATAATCCCCCTTCTCCTTTCTTTACTTGGCTCAGGTGGGCACCTTCCCCTACGGGGTTTCCGCCGTCGGTGAGCTCGAGGACTCTCAGCAGGCACCAGGCCAAGCCGCCCAGAGGAGCCGGCCGCTGGGCCCCCAGGCAGACAGCCACAGAAGGACGTGGGAGACCCCCTTAGAGTGGGGCCTGGGGACCCTGCCTTGACCCTGAGGCTCAGTCCTCCCCCCTCCCTCTGTGTTTGTGCCCCGCCCCCCATCAGAGGCGGGACAGCCTCTTTGGTAGCTAAGCGTCTGCTCCTCAGCTCCCTTGACGAGGATCTCTTGTCTTTGGAGTGTCTGTCTGTCCCTTACTCTCTGAACCTGTCCCTGGTGCCCCTGCCCCCTTCCTTGCACCCTCCTCCCACCTCCCGGAAGGTTCTCTGCAGTCATTAAAGTGCGGATTCACCCTAGATGAACTTGGCCTAGTCTCTGGGGGAAGGTGTGTCCGTGAGCCCCTGGGGTAAGTGAGTTCTAGAGGGATTTAGGGGAGGGCCCCTACACCCCCAGCACACATACAGGTGGTCAACCTATGCCACCCAGCCAGGAGAGCCCCATGGAAGATGCCCGGGCTTGTGTGGAGGCCCTGGAGCCACACCTAGGGACGTTGCTTTATCAGCCCCGGCTCAGCCAACAAGGAAGCTGGGGTGAGGGTGACTTCAGGGTCCTTCTTATAACCTGAGGACAAGCATCATGAGACCCAATGGGGGACCTGCTCACCTACCGTGTCTCCCCACCAGGAAGGGGGCGCAGGAAGAGTGGTGGGGGGCCAGGGACACGGGCTCCCGAGGCCCACGTGGCCACCAGGGGGCGCCAAGAGCTCACTCAGGGCCCGCGCAGGTCTGTCCACACCCTTGGAGCTGGGAGACAGTCTACAGCTCTGGGAACCAGCTTTATTTTTCTCAGGAGCCTCTGGTTGGGAGTCCTACAACCCCCAGAGGGCATCTGTGCCTGCCCTCGCCGATAGCCATGTGCTAATGTCTTCACTGTGAATTTGGTGAATTTTCAATAAGCACCCACTGTCCACTGGTTTTCTGTGGTCTCGAATCCCGCTCAGCCCAGGGTGGGATTTGTCCTTTACGGTATGAAGCGCTTGTGCCCCCCAGGATGGAACATGGTGAATGTGGGGCCCCCTTCAGCGCTAGGTTAGAGCTGCCTGCTTCACCGAGGAGTTGAGCTGGGCTGTAGGGGTGTGTTGTGATGGGGGAAGAGAGGCAGGGTCTCCTTCACCTGTTTCATCTTGCCAGGCTGGTTCACTTTGGGGCTGGCGGGTTTGTCAGGTTGGAAATTGCTTTCTTCAACTAGAACAGAGAAAGAGGGGTTTGGGGGAGGGAGGGTGTGGAGGAGGCTGAGAGCGGGGATTCCAGGATTGGCTGGCTGCCCTAACGGTTGATTCCAGGGTAAATGCTAAAGCCAGTGCCTCCCCACAGCACAGACGGCATCATTTAGGCCCAGAGAATGGCAGGGCTGGCCCCTGACCACAAAATAGTGGCCAGGCACTCTGGGCCAAAAAGGGGGGCTCATCGGAATCCAATGAGGCCTCTCTAAATTTGGGTGGGAGGGTACTGTGCGCCCCCCCCCGCCCCCGCCGTCTCCCCAGCCTGCTCAAGCATGGCTCCTCTGCCTTGCTCTGCTCCGGGACCCTCGTACCTCCACCCAAGATACGGAGCCCACAGCTCTGCCCAGAGACGTCACGGGGAGGGACTGAAGTTTCAACAGCTCGAAGAGGTTGTGTGCCTAGAGATGGGGGGTTGTTAGGAAACATTGGAGGATAGACGGTGCTCAGCCCATCGGGCTTCAATCTCTCCCTAGCTTGGGGGCTGTGAGCTGGGGTGGAGGCTCTGGCCAGGGCTCTGTCCCAGGGGTGCCCACCCGCCTGTCTCAGAGCTTGGGAAAGGGGTGGGGCACAGTAACAGTGGGTGGGACACCAGGACGCGGGCCTGCAATGTCCACTGTGACCACCAGGGGTCTCCAGAGTCCACGGAAGGGACCGGTTTAGTTAGCATGATCCAGCATCATCCAGCGGCACAGAGGGGCTGAGGCCACCTCCACGTCCCCAACCTGTTTCTGTCCCTCTCCGACCCCATGTGCCAAAGCCCCTGTTTTGCAGGATGGGAAGGGGGCAGCATTCAGAGTGATTAAGTAATTTGCCCAAGATCACACAGGGAGAATGTGGTAGACCTGAAATTGAGACCCATGTGTGCCTTGATGCAAAGACATCTTTTCAACTACTGTCTCTCTCCACCCAGAGGCTTCTGCTCCCCCAAGCTCTCCCTCTTCCCTAGTCTTTGCATCATCCCAAGAACCCTAGAAGTGAGGGACGGGGAGAGGACAAAGACTACCATGCTCATTCTACAGATGAGGAAGCCGACCCAGGAGGAGCAGAGAGCCACAGGGTACCAAGAAAGCTGGAGCCTAAGTTCCCCTCTTGGGCTCTTCCCCTCTATCCCACAGTCCTCGTCTGCCTGCATGCCCGAACCCTCCCCGCTACCTGGTGCAGGGAGGTCTCCGGAGACAGCTGCAGGGTCACTGGCTCCGTGGGACAGCCCCCAGCCAAGAGGTCCCGGAGACGCTGCCAGTGATGGGGGAAGGATCATGGAGGGCTGGGCCAGCCTCCACCTCCTCCAGGCTGTCCCTCTCAAACCCCCTTTCCCCGAGGCACCCCCCTCACTCCCCTGCTGACCACTCCCCATCCTGACACCCCACAGGAGTACTCACCCGGTGCCCTGGAGCCCAGGAAGGTGGCTCAGCCTGGAGTGCCTGCATCAAGTGCGCCCTTCCCACAGTGCCCACCAGTATCTGAGACTCTGCAGAAGTGGAGAGGGAGAGAGCCACATGCCATTTACTGGGCAGCTACTATGTGCCAAGAACTGTACTGGGTGTTCTCATGTCTCCCAGGACCCTACGGCAGCCAGGGGGTCAGGAGCTATTACCACCGATTTTATATAAGAGGAAGCTGAGGCCCAGAGGCACAGAGAGGTTAATTATCTTGCCCAAGGTCACTGAGCTTCTGATGTGGAGGCGTGGTAATGGAAGGCAGCTGGGTAAGGCTGCCCATCCTGATTCCCCCTGTGGCAGGGTCTCCAGGCAGGAGCAGCTTTGGGATACCTGCATGAAGATGTCTGTGGGTCAGGGCTGGGCTTTGCCCCTCATTTCCCACAGGAAGTTTCACATCTGGCTCAGCCCAGTGAAAGTGTGAACCCAGAAGGCCACCATGTTCTGAGGTCCTAGTGTGGGCTGAGGGCTTGGCAATGCCTCACCCTGGGCTATCACTGGAGTTGGCAGGTGTTGGGGTTTGAGGAGGCAGCCTGGCATTTTTCCTTCTTGTCAAGTAAAATCAAAACTTTACAACTAGACATATAAACGCTCTCCCTTTAAACAACAACAACAACAACAACAACAGTTAAAGCTATTTCTTGGGTGAGGAGCAGGGTCCCACAGACTGGGCCTGTGCTGGTTGGGAGCTCTTTGCTTTCTGTGGCTCTAAGGGTAGAAGTGGTCTTTGTCTTGGAGGCCAATTTTGTCTTCGTTCCAGGAGGCGAAGCCTCTTGGAGGAGTCACCCATATGCAAATATTTCCAAATGGCGTATTTGGTGTAGTCTGTGGGGATCATGTTAAAGGTATCCCAATTGGAGTGGGGAGCGGGCATGGCATTTGGGATGAGAACCTCTGACAACTCCAAGTTGGTCCCTATTTTCCAGGCGGGGAAACTGCAGTTCATAGAGCTTAAGGGGTTTGCCCATGGTTCTGCTGCTCGTACGGCTTTATGGGCTCTTGGGTGGGTATGGGGGTAACCCATAGGGTTTTGCAGGTTGCTCACTAAACAAGGTACCTGCCCAAAGGATGAGTAGGAATCAAACTCCTGCTGTGCTATGCTTGACAAGTGTGTACCTTGTCCCGTTTGCATATGTGGGCTGACAATGGCCCTGAGTGGACATGGCTAACTTCCCTCCCACAAATCTTTCCTACTCTTACTATACTCATGTCCCAGTGGGAAATGAGGCTCTAGCTAGAGCCTTCTGCAAGATGCAGCTTATGTATCTTTTCACAAGGGCATCCACTCATTTTTCTTTAAAAAGACATTTTTCTTGGGCGCCTGGGTGGCTCAGTTGGTTGAGCGACTGCCTTCGGCTCAGGTCATGATCCTGGAGTCCCGGGATCGAGTCCCGCATCGGGCTCCCTGCTCAGCGGGGAGTCTGCTTCTCCCTCTGACCCTCTTCCCTCTCGTGCTCTCTATCTCTCATTCTCTCTCTCTCTCAAATAAATAAATAAAATCTTAAAAAAAAAAAAAGACATTTTTCTCGTGGCAACAGGGTTTCAGGAGAGTTGAGTTAGCTGGGGAATGAAGGGGAGGCCCAGGTAAGGAGTCTTCTGAGACCTTATCGTGTTGCTATCACTAATCCCACTCCCAAGCACACCAGGCCTGGCTTCTAGAATTCCTAAAGCTATCCATAGAATGCCTTACAAGACTCCTCTCATCTCATTTAAAGATGTCAACCACCCCAAGCTAGGGAGGTCATTGTCTCCATTTTACCAGTGAGGAAACTGAGGCTCAGGGAGATGAAGTGACCTGCCCAAGGTCACACAGTTGCAGAGACAAGATTCAGATTCAGGTGACTGAGAGGTCCAATGCCCTGCTTCCCCTTTCCTGGACCCGACCCTCCAAGGCGGAAGATAACGGTAGAGGGAATAGCCCCCTCCCCACCTATGCTCCCCTATTCCTGCTGGGTACCTGTGCTCTCCACCAGGAAATACTTGGCCAGGTCTGTGGAGGTCACGACCCTAGCCACTTCCTCCAGCGGTGTGTCCTTGGCCAGTGTGGTGATAGTACAGTTCATGAAGTGCCCCACGATCACACGCTGAGAGCTGGAGGCAGAAGGGTGCTCCCCTCAGGTCCTGGAGTGAGGTGATCTCCAGACCCCAGGACGAGGCAGGGGTACCTGGGGGGAGCTGGTTCTTGGGTGTGGCCAGGTGCTGAGAGATGCGTAGATTCTAGCTTCTAGAACCCCAAGGTGGGGAGGAACTTGAGGACAGCTCACCTATGGCCTAGCTCTGGATTCCCAGCCCCTGAACTCCTATCTGCCCCCCCAACCCCCACCCCCAGACCAGCTCCACTTTGCTCTGTTTTACTCAGAAGCCTTCCCTGGAGAATTTCATCTGAAGAAAAGTTTTATGGCAAAAGAAAAAAAGAAAAAAGCTTTAAAGTTTGAAAATCACTGGAGTAGTCACCCCCATTTACAGATGGAGAAACTGAGGTCTGGACCAAGGTGACGGCTTGCACATGTTTGGAGCTGGACCTTGGACCCGAGACTCTCAGCGTCTCTTAGTCCCGCTTCTCTGGGAACAGAGGCTGCTCTGCTCTGGTCTTGCCTGGCCGAGGGAGATTCCAGCTCCCAACGTCCCAGCAAGGGCAGTAGGGCAGCAGTGGGAGAGAGGAGGGGACCTCCCGGATCTGGTGCTGCCTCTATGTGTGACGGGGAGCAAGGCACGGCATCTCTATGAGCCCCAGTTTCCAGCAAATGGGCAACATCCGTCCTCCTGTCGTGCAGACAGACAACTAATAAGACAGTGGAGCCCTGGAGGCCAGGCATTTGCCCAAGGTCATGCAGGGAGCTGGAGAGAGTGGAGACGAGATGGCTGTGTATGGGCCCCTTCCACACCACCCACGTCCAAGGTCAGCCACAGTGAGGGTCTTCTGGGGGGGGGGGCCTTCACCCCAGCCCACCCAGACCCATCACCTCCATCAGCCAGCCCAACGTGGGCACCCCTCACCTGATTTTTCGGCCTCGGATCCATGGAAGGTACGGCAGCTTCTTGACGATGATGGTGCCGTCATAGAAGGAGGGCTGGCAGCTCTGGGCGACGGCGTTGGCCGCCAGCACGGCCATCAACACGGGCAGGGCGTGCACGATCTGGCCAGTCAGCTCGAAGGCCAGCAGCGCCGTGGAGATGGTGTGGGTCACGGCCCCCGAGAAGGCCGCAGCCCCTGCAGGGGGCAGAGCCGGGGGGCGGGGGTGTGTATGTGGTTCAGGCCAGGGGCCAGCCTCATGCGGACGGCAAAGCTGCCGTGACCGTGGCTGTGTGCTAGGTGGGAACTGTCCAGAGGCCACACGCTGGCCACTGCTGGAAGCGCCCCGGAGCCTGGGCTCGGTGAGGGGGAGCGTGTAAGGGAGAGGATGGGGTATCAGGGACAAGATGGGAGCTAGAGAGAATAAGGGGGGACTCGGGGGACAGGGCTCAGGGAGGGGGCTCACTGGGAGACTCAGTGATCTCTCCATGCCCCGATCCTCTGGGTCCAGCCAGCGCCCCCGCAAGGTCTGCCCCTCCGTGGGGACCCAGCCCACTCACCTGCCAGGGCGTACCCCCCAGGCATGATGGGGTTGGTGACTCCTCCAGCCACAATGCCCTCGGGGAAGGCAAGAGCGAGGGCCTCCCCTATGAGGCGCCCGATGGCAGCTCCTGGTCACAGACAGGGTGAGGAGGGGGAGGCAGGCTGACGCGTCCCCCGCAGCCCTCCATTCTTGGGGCCCAACCTCAGTACCATCTGAGGAGGGAGGGAGAGAGCCAGGAGCCATGGCCCTGCCCCAGCAACCCTGAAACTCCCAGGCCCTGGGAACCCCAGACTCACCGAAGATGAATATGGGCATGAAGTACCCAGCAGGGATGGGGATGGTGGTGGCCAGAATCAGCATCCAGAACTGGAGGGGGGTGGGGGGGAACCCGGAGGAGCCAAGGTTAGAGGCGACTGGACAAGAGTGGGCAGGAGAGGGAATGGGCAGGGGACAGGGGAGCTTCCTGGGGGGGAGGAGGCCACCCAGGCCCAGGCCCATCGCCAGCGTCTGGTGTTAGGAGGGCACTGACCAAGGGAAGGAAACCCACCCTGACAAAGAGCCCACTATGTGCCTGGCACCGCGCCAAGGGCTTTCCTTTCTTCCTGCTCAACCCCCCCTTGGAGGTAGACACAGCAACGGCCCCGTTTTAGAGATGAGGAAACCGAGGCTCAGAACTGAAGCACCTTGGCCGGGGGTCACACTGCGGGCAAGGGTGAGATCAGACAGTCTGGGTGGAAGGCCCGGGAGCTGTGCTACACTCAGTGGGGGGCAGTGCTCCCCATCCCATCCAAGGCCAGTCTCCACTCTGTGCATGACTCCGGGGGCGGGGGGCCCGTGGCACCCACCTTCATAACCAGAAAGAAGGCGAGGGTCCCAAAGATGGTGAACCGCGGGTGGTACCATTCAAACCACAGGTTCTGGGGGTCGAGCTCCTCGGGCCAGGGAGGGGACGAGTTCCGGGTCATCAACGCCCACGAGTGGTTGTCGAACAGTGAGTCCAGATGCTCCTTCATGGACAGCTGGCTCAGGGGACAGGTGGGAACTCTGCAGGAGGGGGCTGGGCAGCAGTTCCTGCCACCCCCTCACCCTGACCCCACCTCAAGTCCCCCTCTGCCACTTCCCACCTTGGGAAGGGCTCTGAGCCCTCAGGGCTGCAGTGTCCTCATCTGGAACATGAGGATGACCCACAGGCTTCCCCTTACAGGCGTTGTGGGGATTAAATGAGATGACAGGTACAATGGGGGTGACGGATGGGGGTTCCCCACTCCAGCCCCACCCCGGCTCAGCGCCCCTTACCCGAGAAGCCAGGAAGCGGCCCACGCCAGGGGGGTAGGTGATGGAGGCGAGAACCAAGGCCGCCAGGGCGGAATACAGAGGCTTGCTGTGGGGCGTGGGGGTGGGGGTTAAGCTCCAGTGCTTGTCCTCCTCTTCCCCCACCACACGGAGGGGGAGACGGGCAAGAGCAGGCCCCACCACCCCGAGGGTTGGCACAGAGGCAGAAACTGGAGGAGCGGGGGCCATAGGCCAGCCCCGCTCCAGGGGAGGAAACCTGTGGTGGTCAGCCCCACCGGGCTGATAGGAGAGTTGGGGACAGAGCTCCACCAGGCCAGGGTGGGCCACACATGGCCGGCCTGGGGCAGGTGCCAATGCCAGGGGGCAGGCAAGGTTTGGGGAGGAGAGGGGCTTGGTTAGGGCTTCTGGCTCTGTGGGAAAGTAGGGCTTTGGTGTGTGTGTGGGGGGGTGCAAGCTCCGTGATAGAGTGAAGACTCAGGAGGAGTGGGGAGATGGGCTCAGGAGGCTGAGGAAGGGAGGGGGGTTGTCCTCCCCAGTCCCTGTCCAGAGCCCACCTGGTGGCCAGCAGTTTGGAGATGACCCGGTTGGTCTTGACAAAACCAAGGAACGTTCGCTGACAGAAGAGGTAAGCACAGCTCAGGATGCCACAGATGGCCCTGGGGGGGGAAGGTGAGGCCAGAGCCCCGCCCCAGAAACAAGGGCAGCGGCTCAGGACTGGGCGAGGCCCCCAGTTGGGCTCTCAAGGGACCCGAGGTGCTCACTCACCCCAGTGCCACAAAAAAGAAGATCTCCGGCAGGTCGAATGGGACATCCACCCTGAAACTGGTCTTGTAGAGGGAGGTGATGGTCTCTGGGGCAGGAGGGGAAAGATCAGGGACCATACCCCGACCCCAGCCAAACCCAAGTCCCAGACTTGACAAACAGCAGTGGAGGTGGTGCTAAGTCAGGTCAGGAAGGAGAGGAGAGAGGGAGAAAAGATGGGAGGAGGGGGCACGGGGAGGGAGCCAGGGCTGGGGTCTGGCGGTCTAATGGGCACTCACCCTGCTCGCTGTTGAAGACCGCCAGGAGGCGGAACATGAAGGCTCCGCAGGTGGCAGCGAAGAAACCCCTCCAGTAATCCCAGACAGAGAAGTGGGAAGACATGACCTCAATGCTGAACAGGACGCCTGAAGGTGATGCTGAGCTTAGACGGAGCCCCACCTCCACCCATCCCAGCACCCTGACCCCTCCCATCCTGCTCTCCTACAGCCCCGGCAGACAGGCTCCCCGCTCTCTTTGGGCCTGAGCTGGAGTGAGAGAGGGCAGGCAGGAGCCCAGGGAGTGTGCCCGCCTGTGCCATCCTGGGCCATCTCAATCCCTACAACAGCCCTATGGAGGGGGGCGATTAGCCCCGTTTTGCAGACAAGGAAACGAGGCTCAGAGAGCTGAGAGCTGAACTCACTGGCCCAGGGTCTCACAAGGGAGCGGGATCTCCAACCCAAGTCTGTTCGTTGTGACCCTGAGGCGTCCTGACACCCACCTCCACCCCGCCCTGGGGTGGATGTGCCCCCAAAGGACTGCAGTAAGCCCGCACCCCTCCTCCAGGGCCCTGGGTCAGCCCGCACCCCTCTTCCGGGGCCCTCAGCTGGACAGAGGAGTGAGCAGGGAGGTCGGCAGCGCTGGGACAGGAGTGGTGTAGGGGCCCCCCGGGGTGCAAGGGACGGGCAGGATCTCACCACTGAAGGGTGCTGCAAACACCGTGGCCACGCCCACCGCTGCCGCCGCCACCAGCATCTCATTCTGCTTGTTCTTGTTCTGGGGGGGATCCCGAGTCGGAGGCTCGGAGTCAGCCCCCACCCTGCCCTCCCTCTCATTCCTCCAAGGGGGGCCCTCCCTGGCCCCGTTACCTCAGATTCCCCAGTGGCCTTGGTGTGCACCCGGCCCAGGTAGGCAGCGATCATCACAGACAGGTGCACGAAGGGGCCCTGCCGGGGAGGTGGGGGAGTCAGAGCCCTTGGGGCCCAGGGCTGGAGGGCAGAGAGAGAGCCTCATCCAGACCTACATGGCTGCGCATCCGCACCCTCGTCCTCCGTCTCCCCAGCTCTTTTGTCACACTCTGGGGACCTAGCCTGCCCCTCCCCAGGCCTGAAGCCCTGAAGGCAGGCACTGGCCTGAGTCCCCACTGATCCAGCTTCTGTGGGGCAAGAGGGAAAAGGCAGGGGGGCGGGGTGGGGTGTTCTCACGCCTGCCCGTACCACTTTGCCCAGGAAGATGGTGCTGCCGGTGGCCAGGGTGCAGGTGAGGCCTGCCACCTTGGCCCCGAAATTCTTGACATCCAGGTAGTCCTCCAGCACCACGCCTGACAAGATAGTCTTCAGCTCCGGGATTCCAGAACCTTGGCAGGGGATGGACAGGGGGCAAGAGGAGGGACAGTCTCTAGATTACACTCTCAACACTTCACCCTGCCCAAAATGTTTCACATCATGATCTTGTCAGGTCCTCCAAAACCCTGAGTTAGGATCTGTAAACTCATTTGCAGATGAGAAAGCTGAGGGTCAGAGAGGGGATGGGAGTCGTCCGTGTCATTCCAGCTGAACCTGAGCTACGGCAAATGTGGGGGACCCAGGATAGAATCTCAGGCCACCCCCGGGTGCACCCCTGGAACTCCCCAGTGCTGGCCTGGAGCTGGAGGCAGGGCTGAGAGGCCTGGGGGAGCTGTGGCCCTCCCTCAGCCTCTCCCTGGGGACCCTGCTGCCAGGGCTCCCCGTCACCGGCCAGAAGCGCCCTCAGAAAGGAAGCGGAGCCAGCAGTGACCCCAGAGTCCTTCTCACGGTGTGACTTTGGGGCACGCGACACAACACTTCTAAGCCTGGCTTCTCTGGCTGTGAAATGGGGTCACTACTTCCTGCCTGCCCCCATCAGAAGCCCCGAGGGATACAAAAAGGCTTTGGCGCCAGGCACACAGGCACATGGCTCACCTCCAGAGAAGGGCGTGATGCTCTGGGAGAAGCCGGAGGAGAAGGAGACCAGGGCCACAGGGTACACGGTCCAGGAGAGATACCGGAGCAGGTGGCTGTCCCCAATCTCCCGGTATAACCACTTGTGTGCTGGGGACACCCCGGGAGTCAGGGAGCCATCACAGCCTTGGCAGCCCTCAGGTGTCCACTGACCAGAAATGGAGGCTCGACGAGGGGAGGCCCGGGGCCACCCAGTGAGTGTCAGATGCCCAAACAGAGGCAGGACTGGGGCCCTGGATCCACATCCCAGCGTTGCTACTACCCACTGAATGATCTTGGGCAAGTGACTTAACCTCTGTGAGCCTCCACTTCCCCATCTGTCAAATGGCCTAGTGATGGCAGCTCCCTCACGGGGTCATTGCGAGAAAGCACTCAAATGATGTCCAGGGCATGATGCATAGCAGGTCCTCAGGATGGCACCTGAGCAAGTCTCCCAGGGGGGTTTTAGAACCTTCTTGCCCATGCCCCCTGTTGCCGGGAGAGCTCAGGGTGGAGAGAGCCAGCTGAAGCATGGGGAAAGAAAGCTCTATGTCTGGTGGTCTAAGCAAGTGCCCTCCCCCGTTACTGAGCTGAAAGCAAGGAGGGAGGGAGGAGAAGGAACAGGGGCAGCAGGAAGAGGTGGGCATAGAGCTCAGAGGAAGAAGGGCTCTTGGGAACATTCACGTCTCTCTTGCTCATTGTGCAGATGAGGAGACTGAGGCCCAGAGAGGGGCAGGAGCCTATCCAGGGTCACGCAGCAAGTCAAGGGCAAAGCCTGGACCAGACCCAGGCCTCCTCCCTACCCCGAGCCCTCCTCCACCCACGATGCACCCGGCGGCCCATCTGGCATCCCAAGAGCGTGCATGGAAGCCTGTGTCCAGAGCAGGTGTACGTGCCAGGGAGGGGTTACCTCGGACCACGCGTCCGATAGTGAAGTTCATGGTGTAACTGATCAGGGCCATGAGCACCCCGAGGGTCATCAGGAAGTACCAGTCCTCCCCCACGCGGAACAGCTTCTGCTTCAGCCACTCCAGGCCACCTGGGGCCGGGGCACTGGGTCATAGCCCAGGGCCGGGGGTGGGGCATGGACAACCCCTTCCCTGGAGGCCTGCTCAGGCCCAGGGCAGGGAGGGAAGGGGCAGTGTGGGGCTGGGGCCATGGGGTCAAGCCCAAGGTGGCTCAGAAGAGGTTCTGCACATGAGGGGCAAAGCAGGAATTGTGGCAAGTGAAGGCAGCAACACAGTGGGTGCCAGGCCTATGGGCCCTGCTAGAGGACCTTTGGCCTGTGCACCCTCCCCACCCCACCCCACACTGGATACTCATGGAAGATTGATGGAGCCGGCAGGGGCTGGGGAGGGTGTGCTGAGAGCTACAGCTTTCTCCAGTGTCTCCACAGGGCACAGCACAGAGAACACAAGTCTAGCAGGAGCCTCCTTGTCTCCAGACCTGTGGGCCTATCCTACAGGCCTCACTGGGGTCAGGCCAGGCAGCGCCCACTGGGCCCCGAGCAAGGCCCCTGGCATGGCCATCAGGCTTTGGGGCTGCTTTCCCCAAAGGCGGAGAGCAGACCTCTAGACCCACAGGCAGATGGACTGGCAGACAGGTCCCTCCCCTCCCTTCCACCCGGAGACTGTGGGCAGCTCTTGGGTTTCAAGGTGGGTGGGGGAGGTGGGGTCCCGGTAGGAGCGATGGCCTGAGGGGTCTTCGACAGGGAGAGGAAGGGGGCCTAGCTCTCACCTCGAATGCCTCGGCGGACGCGGGGATACGGGCCCCATAGCTCCCGAAGACTCACAGGGCTCCCCGAGGAGCCCTCACGCAGTCCCACCAGCTCTTCCATTGGGTCCCTGAGCAGACAGACAGTCAGACCCTTGGTAAGTTGCTCCCCTGCCCTTACCCGGCCACCTGGCCCTCCCAATACCGCTACTTCCCACATAAAAAGGGACAGAGGTGTTTTCCTGTGCACACATGTGCGTGCATGTGCGAGTGTATGTGAAGCTATCTGGAGGGGACAGAGGTCTGATGTGTCTTCATCACAGAGGGGCTGTCGCTGAGGGTGCGCATATCTGTGTTAGGGTGTGGGGTGGGGCCTGGGGTTCCTGTGTCCTCTGTGTCCAGCAGCAGATTGATCAAGGCGGGACCCCGAGCCTCAGAACTCCCTTCCCCCTGCCATGGGCACCGATCCTACCCTCAACGCTTGGCTGCCTCCACTGCACAGAGCGATCTCCTTTCCCAGCAGTCACTCACACTGTGGGGTCCCCCATGCCTGTCCCTGAGCCCCCTCTCCTCTGCTCAGGCCACAGAGGCAGGTAAAGGACAGCCCAGGAGGGTTGTAATGAGGTGCTGGCTCCCTGCCGCCCAGCCTCCTCCTGCCCGGCCTGCTCTGGCCCTGGCAGTTTCCACCCAAGTCCAGGGCCCCGCTCCACACCCAGCAGCCCCTCACCTCTGTTCGTCGGCCCTGCTGTGGCCCCAGCCGGCCCTCCTCTAACAGAGACTCCTTTGCCTGCAGCCCAGGTGCACCTGGACAGGTCTGTGCTCCACCAATCCACATCCTGGGCCCCCCCCCCCGCCCCCGCCGCCGGTCGGGGTTTACCCTGGCCATTAAGAATGTCCTTGACAAACCACCCAGAACTGCCCAGTCCGGTTGAGCCACGCAGGCCAGAACAGCCAAGGGGGACCAGGAGCTGAGCTCCCTAGAACCCAGGAGAGCCACGCAGAGGGTGGCGCTCGACACGCTGTGGGCTCCCTGCTGCAGCCTGGGGGACATGGGGGGAGGAGAAGCTCCTGCACACAGCAGCACAGTGAGGGGTCCTCTGCAGGGGCTGGATTCTCAGAGCTGGACATGGAAAGGGTTTGAGGAAGCAGAGAAGGGAGAGGGAAGAAAGCCGACGGAGCTGGAGGAAGAGCTTGGGCAAAGGCGAGGGGCCCCATCACTACCGCACCCTCACTGTGGGCCAGGCACTGTGCTCAGCCATCCCCAGAATCAGCGAGTGCTCACAGAAACCCAACGAGGTGGGAGGTAGTATCCCATGTTAAAGAAATTGGAGTCTCTGAGGGGTGATGCTGCTCCAAGGTCACAGAGACCGAGGGGCAGAGCCGGAATTCCCAGCCAGGTTTGCCAGACCCCAAAGCCTGCACACGGCTCCGCCGCCCACCTTGCTCAGGGGTGGGGAGGAGACCGACAAGCCGGAGCAGGGGCGGTGATGTGGGGCCCCCGCAGGCCTCTGAGGCCTGGGGAGGAACTTGAACTTGATCCTCAGGTCCAGCCCCTCTAGCCTCAGAGAACTACCCCTCAAACCAGAGTGCTTCCCAGTCTATGCCACAGATGATCCTGCCCCAGCAGAGGGTAGGAATGAGGACATGAGGGAGAGGGAACGAGCACAGGTTATGTGCCAGCCACACGCCGGGCCCTTTATGTCTGCAACACAGTCCATCCTCCCGCATCCTTGTGAGTCAAGGGCAGTATCACCATTTGGCAGATGATAGTGGATCAGAGAGGTGTAGTGACTTCTCTAAAGTCACACAGCAGAGGCTGAACCCAGACCTAGACTGTCTGGCTTTTCCCCTCCCAGAGCTCCTCCAGCCCCTGTGGCTTTCATCAGTCAGGACAAGGGTTTGGTCACAAAGCAGAGGATTTGGGTCTGATGTCACTTTTGGAAAGATTTGGGCAAGAGATTTGGGATAACTGCTCTGTCTCCCTTCCCCAGACAAATCTCCTTTCTGAAAATCTTGATGGCCCTTCGGGGACTTGTTAAAACCCTGGGACCCTGAGCCACCCTCTGTCCCTGGATGCCTGGCCACGTCCATCCAAAATAGGAGCACGTGTGTGTGTGTGTGTGTGTGTGTGTGTGTGTGTGTGTGTGTGTGTGGTGGGAGGCGGGACGGGGCTTGCAGCTCTGCACGGGCTGGGCCCACTGTCACCTTGCCACACCCACCTGGTGACTTCCTACGGGAACAGGATACCTGGCTGCCTTGTTGACATCCCAAACCCCAGTATAATCCCACAGCCGGCATCAGCTGCCCAGCAGGTGCTGCACGTCCACACCCTCACCTCCCAGCCCTGGGAACACCAGGAAACTGGGGAGAGGGCAGCAGAGTCCCTCCCAAAGCCACTTTCCTGCATCAAGCCCCAGCAGCCGTGGAGGGTAAGAGCAGGCTGGATGCTAGAACAGCTCTGTCACCCCAACAGGTCCTCCACCACTCAGAACCTTGGTGTCCTCTTCTGTCCCATGAGGAGAGCTGGGGAGTCATGCACGCATTCCTCATTCATCACGATCCCCAGAGCCTAGAACAGGGCCCCCCCACAGAGCAGGTGTTCTGTAAATATCTGCTGAGTGATGAGCAGTTTCCAAACGCTGGCCTGCGGGCTGGCTGTGTGGGGAGCTGACGGGGACAGATACCTGCTCGCTTCCCAAGACTGTAAATCAGAATCTTGGGGTGCAGAGGGAAGAGTCTGTGTGTGTTAAAAGTTCTCCCAGGTGATTGGGATAAAAGGCATTGGATCATCTCGGAAGTTCCTCCTATCCCTGTGATCTGGAGGGAGAGCATGCCCAGACACAGGGGAATGGCCTTGATGACCTTCTGAGGTCCCTCCTGGCCACTGAAGTCTGTAGATCCAGTACATTTATGGGCGATGCCTCAGGGATAGGAGGAAGGGGAGGAGGAACGGTGGGCGGAGGTGGGTAACGGGATCTGACGTCCAGGAGCAGTGACTCAGGCCCTCAGCACCATGACAGTGTGTCTGCATTTAGCCACCAGCTCCTGTTTCCCTGGCGGGCAGGAGGCCTCTGGGCCCCCCCACCCCCGCCCCTACCCTCTTTCCAACTTGCCTCGTGCTGGTCACATCCTGGCAGCCCCACTGGAACCCCTCGGCCAGTATGGGTGACACGGGCCCAGCAGGAACCTCCACTAGAATGACAGACCCCGCTTGCTCCAGCCACCCCCCAGCTCCCAGCTCCACGCTGCCCCCACCCACGGACCACCCGCACCAGTGATTACCTCTAGACAGAGTCCCACAAGGATGGTGTTCTGTGGGAGCCAGAGAAAAGAAAGACAGTCCCCACCTTCAGGAGCCCCCAATCTAACAGGGAGACAGGCGGACCCCTGCACCAGGGGAACCACCAGTCTGATGGGGGAGTGAGGACACGACAGAGAAGTCACAGACCCAGGAAGACATGTCAGAGGGCCAGGTGCTGGGGTGGGCCTCTGGGCAGGGGCCCCTGTGTGGCTGCAGCAATCACAGAAGCCTTCATGGGGGAGGAGGAATCAGAGCAGGTCTGGGCAGGAAGGGCAGGACTTGGAGAGAAGAACAGAAACCCCACACCGTGGCCTGGGCAGCGCCCACCGCCCAGAATAGCCTCTCCTGCTTCACCCCCTGGCCCCGCAGGATGTCAGTCCTGGCTCTGCTGAGCCGTGGGTGGCTAGAGAGGGGCTTCTGGGCCAGTCTGTCTCCATACACGTATGGTCAGGTCATCCCAGCCTCCTGGAGGGTTTTTTCTTTTTTTTTTTTTAAGATTGTATTTATTTAGGGGTGCCTGGGTGGCTCAGTCGTTAGGCGTCTGCCTTCGGCTCGGGTCGTGATGCCAGGGTCCTGGGATCGAGCCCCGCATCGGGCTCCCTGCTCAGCGGGAGGCCTGCTTCTCCCTCTCCCACTCCCCCTGCTTGTGTTCCCTCTCTTGCTATGTCTAAATAAAATCTTTAAAAAAAAAAAAAATTATTTATTTATTTATTTGAGAGAGAGAGAAAGAGAGAGAGAGAGAGAATAAGCAGGGAGCAGGGGAGGGGCAGAGGGAAAAGCAGACTCCCCCCGAGTCTGAGCAGGGAGCCCGATGTGGGGCTCCATCCCAAGACCCTGGGATCATGGCCTGAGCCGAAGGCAGATGCTTAACTGACTGAGCCACCCAGGCGCCCCTCCTGGAGGGGCTCTGAATCAGACCCACCTGGGTCCGAATCCCAGCTCTGCCACTTACCCACGTGCAAGGCCCGCCCCCTCGGTGAGGTTCCGCTTTCCCGCCTATAAAATGGGAACAACACCTCTTTCCCGAGCTGTGTGGAGATCAAGGGGGCGGTGCTGGAAAGCTCACAGCCAGGAGGCACTCCAGAATTCAGAGCTAGAATAGCGTCTTCTGGAATTCTCCTTTACCTCTCCCTGAAATCCCGCCTGCCAGAGTCCTGAGCATCTCCATTGAGCTGGAGGCCAAGCAGACAGTTCCCAGCAACATAACCTTCTAGACCTTTAAGGACACTTACCACTAAATTATCTGCCCCCCTCCCCTGAGTCCTGGCCCAAACCCCACCCTGGCCAAGGGCTGCCAGCTTCCTCCCCTTGGGGCCCCAAAATGTTCTGAGAGTGGGGGGAGGGCAAGCACAGAATCTGGGTCCCCGTGGGAGCGGGCAGGGGGACAGCTGCACATTCCCCACCGCCCCCCCCCCCCAGGCTGTCTCAGTCCTTCCCAAGAGATGGCTGTAAACATTATCTGCCCTGAGCGAAGGAGTCTCTCACCTCACGCAGGGGTCCAACAGGTGGAGGTCCTCCACCCACCCCTACCTTCTGATCTTGCATCTCCTGCTCTCCCCAGAGCCAGGTGCTTGGGCCCCCGCTGACCTGACTGCCCACCCCCTTGATCCCCTCTTACCAAGGACTGGAACTTTGGGGGAGAGGGGACAGGAAACAGAAAATCCTATCCTCAAGAAGCTTGCAATCTGATGGCGGAGGCACAGTCCTAAACCCCCTCCCCGCCGCCAGGCTGAAGCGGGAGACAGGGACACAGAAACACCACACACACACACACACACACACACACAAGGTCCTGTGGCGGGCGCGGGGGGTCTGAGTGGCGAGGGGACAGGCTGCCCCCCGCCCCGCCGCTGCGGAGGCCCCGGGCTGGACTTATCGGCCTGGAATGCCGGGCTGTGAGCTCAGCCTGGGCCTGCGTGTGCTGGACTGTCAGCAGTGCAGCCTCACCAGCGAGGATCTCCAGCCCCCTCCGGGCCGAGGCAAGGCCTAAATTTAGCTGGGAGACAAGGGGCTGGCCCCAAGCCCAGGGACGGTCCGGCCTTATAAAGCGCCGGCAATCAGGGCCGGGCACACTCCCCCCGGAGCCTGCTGCCCACACGCTGTCCTGTCCCGCTGCCTGCCTGGCCAGGGCCCAGCCGCCGGCCCGTGGATGAGCCACAGGACCTCTTCCACCTTCAGAGCGGAGAGAAGCTTCCATTCCTCCTCGTCCTCGGCCTCCTCGGCCTCCTCGGCCTCCCGTGCCCTCCCAGCCCAGGACGCGCCCATGGAGAAAGCCCTGAGCATGTTTTCCGAGGATTTTGGCAGCTTCATGCGGCCCCACTCGGAGCCCCTGGCCTTCCCAGGCAAGTTGTTAGGGCTCGGAGGGGAGATGCACAGGGAGGGGACCCCTGCTCCAGGGCACCTGTGAACGTGGCCGCCGAGCTGCCCAGAACAGGTGCCGCCCAACTGGAGCCAT